CAGACTATCATCACATTCTTGTCCGTGTATTGCACTCACTACTGGATTGACCTGCGACGACCTTGTGCATAATTGTTAACTTTATTCTTATTGTACTAGATTTCACAATAAACCTTTACTTATTTTATCCACCTTGTTTTTCAAGAATATATTCCTAATTGCACGGAATATAACAATTAGTATTAGTTTTAGAGGCATATGAGGGAGGTTTTTATATCAGTTTCGTATTTCTTACCAGTGTAAAATAAAAGTGAAGACTGAAGTTAAAATCGTATTCTTGATTCTTAGTTTCGAATTTATTTAAAAGTTGTTCGGATCGATTTTTGAAATACGAATGCTGATACTAAATCAAGATTAACATCGGAATGATCAGTTGCTGTAGTAAGAATGGAATCCGATGTCATTTGAACATGATGCATGAGTTTTTTTTTTCAGTTTAATTTCTATTTAAGAATCTGAACGTTCTATAATTATGTTACCACGTCATAATGATTACTTTAAGTTCCATACGAAAATATTCCATGATCATTTTTCCATGTCATGTTGAAATGATCTCTTTATAGACAAACATTTTTTGATTGAAACCTTAGGTGTTTGTGATATATTTGAATAAATCTAATTTGAGGATGTTTTAGAAATTTTATGTTTTTCAGTGCATCTGAATAACGGGAAAACCTGCTGTAGAACAATGGTCTCTTTTCCAGCATCTGTTTTTTTCCTGTCAAATACGATCTTCGAAAATTTATATTAAAATTATTTTTATTTTAATTTAAAATTCCTTCTTCATCTTCTCTTCCATTTAATCCCGTTTTTTTTTCTTGTTTTTTCTTGCCAACAACGTTATATTTGGTTTGATATGATTAAAAATGTGAAAAAGTGCTAATTACGACAGTAGTATAAGAGATTCCTACCGTATGTCATTCAATTGTGTTATAATATTTCTTAAATACAACACACCGCACATCAATATTGCTGTAAGTAGATCAGTTCACAGTGTGTGAAATAAAATCAACAAAGTGAAGAGCGTTATCGTAGCAAACCTTTGTGACATATTTAACAGTTCAACTTCTCCAGGAAAAGTTTTAAATCGAGTAGTCAAGTGATACGTAAATGACACACGTAAGAGCAAAGGACTTAATCTAGTCGCGTGAGTAAATACCCATTAGTCTTCTTTTGAATTGGTTACTAAATTAGTATTAAAGCAATAGGAAACATTAGTCCTGAGTATGGCGATTAACTATACCCGGCAGTAAGAATTCTGATCGAAGTTTTTGACGAGCGTGGAAACACTCCTTAATTGCGGTTTTTAATTGACCCGGTGTGGTAGCACATGTTAGCGTCCAAGCAATGGGCAAAGCGTGAACCACCAAAACAAAAACAAAACACTATGAAGCCTAAAAATACATTTGATATAGTAAAATTACCAACAGTACATATTTATAGAAGAATTACCAATAGTACATTTTATAGCAAAATTACAAACAATATATTTTAACCGTTTTGGAATGCATAAAAGTGTTTTCGAAATATTCTGATTTCGGCCTTAAATAACTCAAAGAGGCAGATATTCTGCTAAAAAAATCAGTCAACCAACTAACTAGGAATCAATACTGTTTAGTAAGAATGAGCGAATGGAAAATTTCACAGTTGATGGGTGTTGATTTGTTCAGTTCCCGAAGCAGTGTGTTGAACTATTATCGAGTATCAATTATCCTTCATGTCAATGAATTTGGGACAGTTTCCTCGCAGACGTAGAGAGGAGTTGTGGCCATCGAGATGCTGTTCTCCAGAAGCATGCTAAGAGTATGACAAACAAAGTCTTTGAGTAAGGAAAAGGGTTTTAGGAAAATGAATACAAAAAGGAAAATTGTATTTAGAAGCAGAAATAATCAGTTGGCACTTCTGTGACAGAACATGAAAAGAGAAGGCTTGAGTAATTTTGGATCCAGAGGACATAATGAAGTTAAAAATGAGAGAAACATTGAGTAACATACTTAAGGAGCATGTGTAAAGGGAATAAAGAATATGGTCTGGGATATAAAGTAAAGTGTGTGTATGGGGGTGGGAATATTGCTTAGATCTAAAATGATAGGAAAATGTGGCGAATAATAATCGTATTAAATATACACTTACCTTTTTACAATGCTTACCCAATATTTATTGCAATATTATCGGTCAGGTCCTGACATCTCGGTTTCATTTGCTTCATCACCGTCGTAACTTTTTATGTGATTTTGTATAAATATTTTCAGTTTTATAGATTATGTTTTCTCTTTGGTACCTCGATTTTACGTATTTACGCGCAGTATCAGAGAGTTTACTAGCATGCGATCATTGTACCGTCGAAATTGCTAGCTGTAAACGTTAGTTCTAATCTAATAATTTCAACTACAATCTAGAGAAATTTAAATGCAATGACAATCATAATTTTTTATCTCTTTTAATCCTGTCCTTTTTATTGTCCTTTCTCCTCGCTAACGTGTTTCCTTGAAACTATTGTCTTTCATCCTCAGTAACCCGTTACAAACTAGTGGCTTTATCGCCTTGCTTGCAATGGAATGAGTAAACAAAATAAAAGTAGACATACTATCAAAAGTATAATATATATTTTTAATTCATATCAAGAATAGTCAAACATTATTACTCCTAGAACACTAAACATGGGTATATAGAACCCAGCGCAAATAATCCTATTTTTAATTACAATTTTCAGTTTGGCTTGTTTTTGCTAGCCAAAAACATATCATTTCAGAATAAACTTCCTCAGAACAGTGAAAACATTCCATCGAGAATGCAAGTAGGAAATCGTTTTATATAAACTTTAATTTACTTATGTTGGTTAGCACCAATGACGAAAACATAGAGGAAAAATTACTGTTTCAAGTTAGGTTTTTTATTTAAATTTTTATTTAAATATATATTTTTGAATGAAACATGGATTGTTGAGTCAATTGACGTTTACTAAGGTAATTAAATTCATGTTACGAATTCACTTCCAGCAATAACATCAAAAATTTTACTTTCTAAGAAGGTAGGAAAGATTGCAATAACACGTAAATAAATTAAAGTTTATACGAAAAGATTTAAGAGCTGCCTTCTCGATGGAATGTTTTCACTGTTCTGAGGAAGTTTATTCTTAAATGACATGTTTTTATTTTTTGGCTGGCATTGTTGTTGATTTTACCTGTATCCATATTTCAAACCAAAGAGCTCAAAAGCATCTCCGAGTTTTTTTTTTTGGAGAAGAATTATTTTCACCTTCTCACCTCTCTTTCACATTCGGGATGTAGCGATGTTTGTCACTGTTCTATCGTTAATACCATGTAGAGTCCTCAGACGAACCACATTTTTTTGGTTCTGCCGGGTCAACCTTCATGGCTAGGACCGACGCTGACACATATATAGTACCAACCCGGCTACAGTCCAAGTTCAACCCAAACAGATTCCAGCGAACCACTGCCGTGTGGAACATACTCCCAAGAGGATGTTTCTCCGATCAAAACTTGTTCAAGTCTTGATTCAACTATTATCTTCCTCTCCTATACATATAAACGAACCCTTAAACTAACCTTGTACAGGGTGAATCGTACTGTAAAAAAAGGGTAAGCGCTAGAATATTTTGTGAAAACTTTCAAGAAATCATGCTCACTTTCAGTTTCGCATGGAACATTTAGTCTAAAATTCAATTTGGGTTTATAAATAGAAGATTACTGTTTACTTCGGCCCTATAGATTACTTATTCGTATTTGAGACTAACTTAAGCCTACATTATGTCAGAAATCCATTAACCCATTATTGTTGTAATATTACAATTTATAATGCATCCATTGCAGCATTGGTAGTCCCTGTGCAAGATGGCATGATAAAGCTGAAGCCTATTCAGTATGGTTTTGTATTCATAACGCTCCTTCAAGGAAACATTGACCAGTCTACCCTTCTATTTTATCTAGAGCTGAAGGAATCGGTATTCATGTATTTTGCAAAGTCATTAGCGAGAAATGAACGAAACCGAATAGAACGGGAATGGAGCTAAATCCACCGCTGTTTTACATTTGCACTATCCCGGTCTGCTCCTCATCCAAGAATTCTCTAAATGTAATTATAGCAAAAGGATGCTATATGGCATCCAAGAAGGATATGAAATAATAAATAATAGCTTGGAAGTTATTCATAAGAAAGAAACATTGGAATCCTTTTAGTATTTTAGGTAAACGTGTATTCTCCTCCAGTTTCTGGAAGACATCAGCCCTTAAATAGAACATATTATTTCAGGAGATAACGTTCATTTTTTTCTCCAAACGCTATGGCTGGGAAAGTTAGCGTAGTAGAGACATTCGTTGAGCCAGACGTGCTTCCTGTTTCCATATATAGGAGTAGATTGGTTCGCCTATCGTCAGGTTCACGTTCCTCCCCAACCTTTTGATCATGAATAGAGGGTTATCTCTTGATTTCTGTTTAGGATTGGTTTTCTGATTTCTTTTAAAGTATACGTCAGCTCCATATTCTTACCACTCGTCCTTTCCTACGCTTATATAACCCCACACAGTAATCCTCAATTATGAGTAGCTCCTGGGCCTAGTATTGGGTGAACCTTAGTAAAAAAGAAAAGAAAAGCTATATAAAGAGAAAAGCTATGTTCAGATAATAACTATAATATCATTTTACAAAAACAAAAATGAATTAATTGCATTTTACATTCATCGATAACAGCGAAAAGCTTAGTTTACAAACCCAACACAGTGTTTTCCCAGAGTTATTCTAGGCTAGGCTGTTTTATACGCGGGTATAAATTATGCGATGCCAATTGATGCTCCTAGCTAGAATATACCCACTTAGACTAGGAATAGATTTCGACCTTTCCGTATGTAATAAGACATATATTTTGACATCCAGAGATGTCAGCCTGGGATACTAGCAATTATGGTGTGTCACACGATGGAGAGTATAATTGTGCATATTCTACAGGCGTCAGTTTTATTCTGATTCCTTTGTTTGCCGGCTTACGGCCATATTCCGCTGAAACACCGGTTCTCATTCAACCACCGAAGTTAAGCAACGTCAGACCTGGTCAGTACCTAGATGGGTAACCGCATGGGAATGCCATCAGCTTTAAGACTGGATGTTATCCAATGGATAACTGCTCAGATTTGAAAATCAGTGAGACTGGTTCCAATTTTAGTTGGCTTCCTTATATCCATTTATGCATAAGTAGACTTGAAAAATGTATGATTTTGCCACTTCTTCCTCCAGTTATGGATTAATTTGTAAGACTAATCTCAGTAAAAAGTCATTAATATCTCCAACAATTTCTTACAGTCTAAAAATATTTTCTGGCTTTAAATAACTGGCAAGGAGTTGGTAAGCCTTAAAAACACAACTCACTCCACCTGATGAAAGAACTTACATTATAGACTGTAATGATTGTCAGAAGAAATATATTGGCGAAATTCCCAGGAATTTAAATAATAGATGATATAAATATAAAAGAAATATCTCACTCAATGTATAATACGTTCATCCTAATTAATCTGGTCATAATTTAGACTTAACATGCCGTTTTAAGTTGAAAAAAGTAATTTACTAAGGTGAAAATGTATAGAAAGTAAACTGTTTTCCGAATCTTTCACGGTATATCAACGTCCAGGTTTTCATCAATCTATCAATAAAAAAAACCTTACATTGCACCCGAGTAGGTTTGATTTCTGGATAGTAATGATCTTGAAGAAGGGTCAATTTTGTGAATAATATCATCTATTAATACCCGTTTGTTGAGTGACACCCTCAAATAGCATTTTGATTAAGGCCCATCTATGTCAGTTCATAGCCCACTTTTATTATTTATAACAACAACTCTTTAATTACCTAAAATATTATATCATCGCTTTCGTCTACAAATTAGATTAGTTTTTTTTTTGTTTGTTTTTTTTATATAACCCGAAGTTTGAAGAAGGCTATCCCCAATCATAAACTAAGGATTTTACTGGACAAATTTAAATGCGAACCTGGTTTACATTAGATGAAAATTATTCTCGTCCGCTTCATACAGCGATACTACGGGCTTATATTCAATGAGGCATAACTCTCCTTACTGAAATGATTACCGGAGCTTGATCTTCGTTTTCCTTGAAGTTTAAATCTGTTTGTTTAACGGCATGTCAGTTCCTTATGCGTCACATAAAGTAGAACTTTAATCCTTTGGGCAATTTTGAGCAAATAAATATGATATATGTTATTCTGATTTCACAATTGAAGCCATGGTAGATGATAGTCAGATTTTGTGCATATTTATGTTTGTTTGTATTTGATTACTAGAGGCGATGATATGTACGTTTTATGTTGTAGTTTTGATGAAGTTATATAGTTTGATTTCTTTAAGAAATTGTAGGATATTATATGGAATAATATCGTGAAAGAGTTTTTCATGTTGGTTTTTGGTTGATTTTATTTAGTAGTATCTCAACCTGTAAGGGTTATATAATGCCGAATTCTAAATATTTTATACGCTATTTTATGGCTTCAACTAAACATATTTTGAACGCAATTGCATGCCTTCAACTAAAGATAAAATATATTGTTAGTAATACTGCTATAAAATGTATTGCTGACCATTTCTCTATAAATATGCATTGTTGGTAATTTTAATATAAGAATGCATTTTTATACATTCACAGTGTTTTGTTATTGTTTGGGGGTTCACTATTTACCCATAACCGGGACCCTAACAGGTGCTACTACCCCGGGTCTGGGTGTACCTGGGAGGAACACTAACTAAGAGATGGTTACATGATCGTCAAAACCTCCAACCTGCAGATCAAAGAACTTGCTGTCGGGTTTTTCTCGGCGTCATGTTTCTAATCCGAAAAAAGTTGGGCAGCTCAGTTTGTACAAATAGTAGAGGAGTGGAACTGCGTTATTGAAAGACAGTAAAGTTAAAAGTCGGAAAGAAAGAACAGTGCTTTTTATTAGCGAAAAGCTATTATGCCTCTCGATGAATTAATGGTTTAAGTTATCTTACTATTCGCTTTTGGAATAGACATTCTCATTGAGAGGTTGAATAGCATTCAAAACAAAAAAATCAGAAAAAAAAACGACAAACAAAACCCACTTAAGTAGATAAATATTGACAAAACACTAGAGGCTGAAGTAAAATAAAGAGTACTAAAAAGAGGTCATAGGACATATTATAGCGGCTTTTATTTGCAAACAAAAAAACACACACACACACACACACACACACACACACACACACATATATATATATATATATATATATATATATAGTGAGAGAGATATATAGAGGGAAAGATACTATGGTCAGTTTTCTTATCGCAGAAAAGCTATTTAATAAACAAAGAAAGAGCTTTGCACTCAGTCACCATGACCAAAAATGAGATATATCCAATAAGAAAATGAGTGCAAAAATAAAAATCATTTTATAGTAGTAGGCGTACACACTTTTGAGTACACATTTATCAGGGTAGGTTTCCAGTGATACACATCAAAAAATCCACTTGATTAAATTTTATTCATAATAAATAATTACAGAACGGCATAGTTAAACGTCGTTGAAATAAAAGAGACAGGAGATTGAGTTTTACTTTTGCTTATGTAAATACACAACGTATGACTGAGTTGGTTTCATTCGTTTAACGGCAAAGCAAATCCTTATGGGTCATTTAATGCCAAAATTTAATTTTCTTCGGATCTTATTTTATTTAGAAAATGTATTTCTGTTAATTTTATTTCAATGAAAATGTATCGCTAATACTTCTTATTAGGAAAATATATTTTTATATTATAATAATGTTTTGACTTCAGTTTGAGGGTTCAGTAATTGCACATATCTCGGTCACTAACAAGTACTACCACCGCGGGTCAGGTTGCTACTGGGAACAACAGCAATTAAATATTCACAACACATGAAGATATATATATATATATATATATATATATATATATATATATATATATATATATATATATATATATATATGTGTGTGTGTGTGTGTGTATGTGTGTGTTCAGGTATAAATCAACATTAAAAAGAGACGCCCCACAGATACATATATAACAGTATTGTTTTGGCTTTGTGCCACATCTAAGCTTACGCTTGGAAAATCACAATATAACAGTATTGTTAAAATCGCCATTTTGATATTGGGGATCGAACTTTTGTAAATATAAAAGTTTAAGGAGGGAGACTTAATTGCCATTATGTTTCTATATATCCATTTATATTTGTATGTTTGTCTCGTGCGTGCGGTCGCGTATATATATATATATATATATATATATATATATATATATATATTAAACTTTCAGCAGTCAATATACCACATAACACCTTTGAGCGCTTAGACTTGGAGCGGATAGAATGGAGAGCAACGTGTTTTAGTGGACTCACCAATTTTCAATCTGCTTGTCTGAATCATCTTCAAGAAGCGAGAGCAAGATCTAAAAGGTCAGCCAATCTATCAGTTCTCTCATCTCATAATCCTCACACTTGCTCCATATGTGGCTTCCTTTGTAAATCACTAGCGGGTCTTAAATGCCACGTAAGATTATCGCACAAACTTTCATAACTGAATCAATAATTTGTCAGATTCTCATACATCGAAAACAACAGGAGAGTCCATTATATATATATATATATATATATATATATATATAAGTATAAGTGCGTAGGTATGCAGAAAATAGAAAAGAACACGTTGGGTGCATAATCCGGGGTTCCTTAGTATTTTTTGTTTTTTTATTTTTAAGAAGACAGTGCTCCATACAGAAGTAGAGCTTATATTATAATAATATTTTTTTGTTTAAAAATATGATTCCTTCGCTACATAAGAGTTCTCATGTTTCAAAAACGAGAGACGAAATATCCAAATAATTATTAAAATTAAGTTGGATTGTGGTGTTTAGTCCCGTTTCATCTTCAAGCGAAATTTTAGGAATAAGCTATTTGTCGGTTTACGTGTATTTTTAGGCCCGGTCATTTTGGAATTCGTTGTTGTGGGGGTGGCTAGACTATTTTCCTTCGTTAAGTGGTCAGAGAGTTAATTCTTATCAATAGATTCATCATCTTCTAAGAGGTTTTGGTAAGGTTGAGTAGGCTATCTATTTCAAGGCTAATGTTTGCGGTCACCCTTTAGTTAGTTCCCAGTCAGGGATATTTTTATGGCGCGCCTACAATCGTTATGTGTCTGGGGAATTGTCTTTTATTATTGTCCATCTGATTATCTATTTATTTATTTTTTATTCAAGTGGGTGTTTTATATACAAACTGTATTGCACTGAATTTCAATTTGTTTTTTTGTTTTTTTTTTGACGACTACAGAAAGGGTTTTTCCTATTTAATGATTTAGCTTTGCTTTTAAGAATTTTACTTAGCTATGGTATTTTTTTTTAATGCTAATTATTTAATGCGAAAGTTTGTTGATGCCTGCAAAAAACCGTTAACTTCTGCCTATGGTTTAATAATTTTTCATTATTTAGAAATCTAATGATGTGTAGTTTTTCCTGTAAGCATAAAGGGCATAGGTCATCCCACGTTTTACAGGTTCTTGTTTTATTTATTATTTTCCATTTTACTTTTGGTGTTTTATTCGTTTCATTTAGATGCCAGAAATATTGGGATAGAGATGTCTGATTTCTATTTTGAATATTGTTGAAGGAGCTCTTGTGTTGCCTCCATCTAATTTTAAATTTATTCTTTGTTGAGCCTATGTATATCCTATCAGTGTTAGGACTCTCAATGGATGAGATAGCGCACTGGTATACCACAGATTTTGTGAGGCATTTATTTTCCAACGGGCAGTTTTTAGGGTTTCTACAATCACATAATTTTCGTTATTTTTATCCAATTTTAGTTTATGTGTTTTATTACTGTTTTGGTTTGCGTGTTTTTCTAGGATTTTCTTATTATGTCTTTTTATGATTCTTTCTATATTTTCTCAATTTCAAGGTGTTTTTGTTAAAGATGTCGCTAAGTTTGCTATTAGTGGGAAAGTGCTTTTCAATTAAAGCTAGGAACTTATGGCCTAGTTTGGTGCTGACCATTTGGCTGTACGGGGAGTGGTATACCAGATGATCTTTCTTTTCCTG